TGCCATTAGACCCAAACCAAGAATTACTTAATTTTTGTGGATTTCCACATGTTCCGTAGTAGGAGACATAGTAGTGCAATGGTTAAGCAGCTAGGCGGTGAACTGCAAGGGTGGCATTTCTATGTCACCAACAGTCCTGAAGAGAACAGACCTGGCAATTGGATCAGTTCTGCTCCTTTAAAAACTCAAGTCCAGGAAACCCTAAGGAGAGAGTTCTCTGGTCTCCTTTAAGGTAGCTCGGAGTTGGAATCAAGTTGACACACATCAGCATTCTTGGGAGTGGGGGTGGTGATTCCTGACCAGCTTCTTTAATGTGGCAAATCGTATCTTAGGCTTTAGGGGGCCCCTAAGGAAGCCCTGGTAGTGTAGTGGTTTCATGTTGGGCTGCTAACTGCAAGGTCAGCAGTTAAAAACCACCAGCCCCCCCAGGATGGGGCTTTCTACTCCTGTAAATAGTTACAGTCTTGGCATGGCCCTGCTTGATGCTCACCCTCATGAAGAAGAGATCACTGAATACAAGGGTGCTATAGCAAAGTGTGGTGAAGAAATTAAATGGGAACTGGCTATCACAAAAAATAGTGTCTGGGAACTTAAAGACTTGTCTTCCAAAAAGCAGCCATCTAAGTGAGGCGTCAACCAAGTCCACAGAGAAGAAGCCCACCAGCCTGAGTGAACCAAGATTATAAATAATAAAATCAAAACTCAAATTAGGGAATGGTCTTAGAACTTAGCTTGTGAACATCTGGTGTGCAGTGAGGTTGACAGTGGAAGTCCAAAATTCCTACATGGACCAAACTTCCAGTGAATCAGCTCTGATTAGAGTTCAAGGATATGAATAGCCTTGTTATCAGACAGAGAGCATTGTCACGTTAATTATGGCAGATATAGTTAGGTTAAAATGTGACATCTTATAATTTTATCTCCTTTTTGACCCATTCAAAAGTTGTTTCAGTTTAAGAAAAAAAAAAAGGTGAAGGGTAAATACAGTGGATTAAGCGTCTGATAAATCCCTTCTGACCATAGACTGGAGATGTGAATAGCCCAGTTATCACACAAAATGCATCAGAAAGTGGATTCTTCCAGATGCAGTTAGGCTAAAATTTAATATATTAAAATTTAACAAAATTTTAACATCTTAAATTTTACGATTTAACAAGTTGATTTTCCTTTTGACCCATTTTAAATTTGTTCTGGTTTTTAATATTTTCTGCTATTTTCCAATTGAGCTTTTCTTCTGCTTTACTTTGCTATTGTTGTCAGTTTGCTGTTATGTTTTTTTAAAAAAAATATTTTTCCATATATGAAATCCAGGATAGGTAAATCTCTAGAGACAGTCACTGGAGTCCTGGTTCTTTGGGGAACAATAGAAGAGGTTGGGGGGAAATGGGGAACTGCTGCCAATGAGCAGAAATGCCCCTCCTCTCACACGCGTTCTCCACCGTGCAGACGTGCACCCTCGCAAGAAGGGCGCTGCATGAAGGGCCACACATAAATACCCAGGGTCAGTGACATCCCTGGGATTGCTGTCTCTTATTGGTTCACACCCCTGGCTCCCAAAATGGACTCCCTCCCATTCTACACCATATCCTTAACGATGCTCATAATGTGTAATTCTCATCGATCATGGCGTGTAAAAAGAGGAATAGAGGGCCTGTGTGTCAAGAGTTGATTCTGGCAGGTGTGTGTGTGTGTGTGTGTGTGTGTGTGTTTTGGTCATTGGTTTA